ATGATGGTGGTGGTAGTGATTATGATAGTTATCATGGTAATGGTAATGGTGATGTATGATTTTTGATGATGTTTACAAGCATCATCAAGACAAAGGTGGATAATGACTGAATATTAAAACACCTTCAATTATTCTCCAGTTCTGTTTCACCAGCCCTAGATATAACACCTGCTTTAATTGTCTTCCAGATCTCAGGAAAGAAAGGCGAAAGTCACTAAATACAGAACAAGACACCAAATAAAGAACGAGATCACAAGTTAGAATTGTCATCTTCTAGCAAATATGCTTAAGAAAACATGCCTTAGCCACAATTTAGTTGGTACAACTTGCAGTAAACAAGTTCGATTTGCGCTCTCCTGCATAAGCTGGCAAAAGTTACTTTCTGAAGCAACAAGGGTTTTAAAAACAAGAAGCCTTGTATTGTGTTTAGTGTTCGTGTTAAATAACTTTTGTTATTACTTTTTCCTAAAAAAACCTTCACCTTGAATGAGAGCAATAAAACAGCCCTGAGCTTTTGGATATTTTATTAGCTGAATTAAGTTTATCATTTAAAAAAACACTAGTTTACTAAGAAAGTAACGTTTATTTGAATCCAACTTGAGATTACTGAAATACTGGAGTGCATCGTGGGACTGTGTGAGGGACAGATTTCGAAGATGACATTAGTCCCACAATTCATCGCAATGTCAACTCTTTCCAGTTTTCCGAGCCTGTTTACATTGTTTTTACAGACATCACAAAATTTTACAGTACTATGTAAAACTGCAATTTAACTGTAAATTTAATTAACTGTGTATTTTGACATAATTGTTACATGAATTTTACGAGCTAAATTTTTGCTAGTGTATATTGGGCTACCTGTGGATAAAAATTTTCAAAACACTTTCACCTGTCCGTAAAGTCGCTCAGAACTTTTATTTCAAAATGAAGATTCACTGCTACGCTTCGTTTTACATCCTTTTGGGAGCAGTAATTCCTTCAGCAGCGGAGTTCAATTCATTTAGAAAAGCCGATTTTGGATATGCCGCTTTTCGTCGCTTCCAGAACAGCAAACTCCACTCGAACGACACCGCTACCTTATATGTCGACAACTTGAAGCAGTGCGCTGTCGGTTGTACATTAAACCTGATATGCCAGTCCTTTAACATCGGAGTACATCCTGTTTTGAGTGGACAGAAATACGTCTGTGAATTATTACCCGTTGATAAGTTTAGCAACTCATCGAGTTTTGAAAACTCCAACCCCAACTTTTCTCACTACACCATTCAAGTAAGTAAGCTAAACTCTGTTTTTATTTTTATTTTTTAAGCCCTCGCTTTACTTTTTATTGTCAACGGATTGATGTAGCTTAAGTTTTTCAATATAGTTTTTTACCTTTTTTTTTTTTTTTTTTTTTTTT